TGCAATGTTACTGAAGGGGCAGAACAGAGAGAAGATTTGTTGAGACAAAAGCTATAAAGAGAGTTATCTGTTAGTCAGAGGTGAGGTGTTGTGGGGAGTCATTGCTTTGGGCAGGACTTTAATTCAGTTACCAAATAAAGACTATAAACTGTATTGATTCTTCTCCTGCAGACTTCTGCCAGCTGAAGATGGACCCTAGCACGGCCTACAAGGAGCTGTACGTCTCTGACAACAGCAGAAAAGTCATCCGCACCAGGGAGCTGCAGCCCTACGGAGACAACCCAGAGCGCTTCGACAGCTTTGCCCAGGTGCTGTGCCGGGAGGCCCTGTCAGGAGGCCGCTTCTACTGGGAGATCGAGTGGAGCGGGGAGTTCTCCATCGGAGTGGCCTACAGGAGCATCAGCAGGAAGGGCAAAGGCTCGCTGTGTCTGCTGGGCTACAACGACAAATCCTGGAGTCTGCTCTGCTCTGACAACGGTTACTCTGCCTGGCACAACCGGGTGGACAAAGCCGTCAGCGGCCCCCACTCCCCCAGAATAGGCGTGTACCTGGACCACACTGCGGGTGTCCTGGCGTTTTACAGCATAGGCAACACCATGACCCTCCTGCATAGGTTCGAAACCACGTTTGTTGAGCCTCTGTATCCAGGCTTTGGAGTTGGAACCTCAGTCAAGATCTGCAATGTGAAGTAACCACTGATATCCGAGCTGTCGTTTTAAAATATCCTCCACGTGTTTCTCATAATATACAGCAGTGCTTTTGGAATATATATTTTTGCAGAACTGTACCAAACCACATTACTGAAGTTATATTTGAAGAAAAATGTTCCTCCTCAGTGTGTTCATACATTTTTTTTAACGCTACACATCACGTATTACGTTTTGCATTTTGCTGTCAAATCACGTTTTCATGATAGTTTACGAAAACATTATTAAAACACATAATCACACAAGTACAATATGAAGTGTTATCCCTTTTAGCATCTGATCATAACTGCTGGATAATATTATGACATGTCTTTATGTTAAAAACGTCTCACTGAGCCAGACCTGTAAATGTTATATGTTGTATGTGTATATAATGTATGTCTATAATAAATGTACCTGGAGATAACCTGGGGTACATTTTCTCATGAGGATTTTTAGGACTGCATAATTCATTTAAAACATCGCAACCTTGTGATCATCTGAGTAATACAGTAACATTCATTTTGGTGCATTAACAGGTATTATTTTGGTTTCAACACATTTTCAATAACATATTTCACTGTCATGTTCTGATATTATCTGATAGTTGTCGCATCAGTTGCTGAAAGTCTGCAGTTTTTTTTTCACTTGAACTAACCCTTATTTAATTGGATGTATGTTTACTTATATAATGGAAAACCAGAGTATAATTGATATCAAGAAAAGACTTGTTTTGTAATAAAATTATTCCATAGTTCTAAATAAAGAGCTGAATGAGTGGATTTCTGTGGTTTTGAGATTTTCTATTTCTACATTTAAAAAAACATAAAGAATGGTGTTATATCTATATTACTAATTTAAAAGTCTTTTTGGATTAGAAATAATAGGTCTGGGATTTAAATGAGAAGATAGCTACGATTCTTGTTTGTCCTTTAACAAAGGCGAGGTCTGACAAATTTCAAACTTAACAGTATCAACAGAGATAGAACTTGAACTTTTAATATATGTAACTGGGATGTGAACCATTCAGTTTATAATTACAAGCAAGGGCGTAGGTTTTCTTTCAACATTGAAGGGGGGTACATACAGTCAGGTCCATAATTATTTGGACAATGATACAGTTGTCATCATTTTGGCTTTGTACACCACCACAATGGGTTTTAAATGAAACAATGAATACCTGCTTAAAGTGCAGACTCTCAGCTTTCATTTAAGCCTTTTTTCAAAAATGTAGTATGAACCGTGTAGGAATGACAACCATTTCTTCACACAGTCCCCCAACTTTAAGGGCTCATAAGTATTTGGACAAACTAACATAATCATCAATTAAACAGTCAGTTTTAATACTTGGTTGCAAAGATGCTGGGCTTCTTCCCTGGTGATGCTCTGCCAGCCCTTTACTGCAGCCGTCTGCACTTCCTGCTTGTGTTTTGGGTGTTTTGCCCTCATTTTTGGCTTCAGCAAGAGAAACGCATGCTCAATTGGATTCAGGTCAGATGATATGACTTGACCATTGCAGAACATTCTACTTCTTTGCCTTAAAAATGTCTTTGGTTGCTTTTGCAATATGCTTCAGGTGAATGTCCAACTGCACTGTGAAGCATCGTCCAATGAGTTTTGAAGCAATTGGTTGAATCTGAGCAGATAATGGTGCCCCAAACACTTCAGCTTTCATCCTGCTGCTCTTGTCAGCAGTCACATCATCAATAAATACAAGAGAACCAGTTCCACTGGCAGCCATACATGGCCATGACATAACAGTACCTCCACCATGCTTCACTGATGAGGTGGTGTGCGTTGGATCATGAGCAGTTCCTTCCCTTCTTCCTTCTCTTGTCTTCCCATCATTCTGGTAGTTGATCTTTGTTTTATCTGTCCATAGTATGCTGTTCCACAACTGTACAGGCTTTTTAGATGGTTTTTGACAAACTCTAATCTGGCCTTCCATTTTTAAGGCTAACCAATGGTTTGCATCTTGTGATAAACCCTTTGTATTTATTCTAGTGAAGTCTTGTCTTGCTGACAAGAGCAGCAGGATGAAAGCTGAAGTGTTTGGGGCACCATTATCTGCTCAGATTCAACCAAATGCTTCAAAACTCATTGGACGATGCTTCACAGTGCAGTTGGACAATGACCTGAAGCATACTGCAAAAGCAACCAAAGACATTTTTAAGGCAAAGAAGTGGAATGTTCTGCAATGGCCAAGTCATATCATCTGACCTGAATCCAATTGAGCATGCGTTTCTCTTGCTGAAGCCAAAACTGAGGGCAAAACATCCAAAACACAAGCAGAAAGTGCAGGCGGCTACAGTAAAGGGCTGGTAGAGCATCACCAGGGAAAAAACCCAGCATCTGATGATGCCTATGTGTCCAACACTTCAGGCAGTCATTGACTGTAAAGGATTTGCAACCAAGTATTAAAACTGACTGTTTAATTGATGATTATGTTAGTTTGTCCAAATACTTATGAGCCCTTAAAGTTGGGGGACTGTGTGAAGAAATGGTTGTAATTCCTACACGGTTCATACTACATTTTTGAAAAAAGCCTTAAATGAAAGCTGAGAGTCTGCACTTTAAGCAGGTATTCATTGTTTCATTTAAAACCCATTGTGGTGGTGTACAGAGCCAAAATGATGACAACTGTATCATTGTCCAAATAATTATGGACCTGACTGTATGTATAGGGGGCTTGGGGTAAATTTTGAGCGTCAAACACAATTGTCATGCACCAGTTTGTGCCTTATATCCATCAATTTATGCATCTGCTACTTTGCTACTTGCATGTGTTTGGAAAATACCTGTGGATCACCTGCTTCTCGGGACTTGTCCCCTCCAAAATCACCTGAAACAACCTGGGCTAACACAAGTTACAGCTGCAACACTACTCCAACATTGACATTACTAACTGCTCCCTCTGTTGGTTAGTTACAGGAACTGAACCGCAATAAATATCTAATCATCTCTGTCACTTATGGGTCCAGTGCGCATCAGTCAATTCATAGTCAAGCTGCCAGAATAACAGCAACACTTCTGTCTTAACAGTATCTCTAAAAACAATTCAGGCGTCAGAAAATAAGACAATAACTCTTGGACAGCAATATGCTGCATTACAACACATGTATTGCACTGTAAATCTTGTCCAAACAACATCTTATTGATATACTGTATGTCCAAAACCAGCTCATTATGTATATTTATCTTAGGGTGTAAAACCCTAGATTGCTTTGGAAGCACAAACATGGTAAAGACATGTGCAAGTATTTGTTTTCTTTATGTACCACTGGTTTTCCCAGCAGAAATTAGAGAGGAGGACATACAGTGTTTGCATGACTGCCTTTAGAAATTATTGGTTTAACACTTTGAAACCAGGAGTGACACCACTTTACTTGCTTTCAGATACCTTTTGCAAGTTTTTAAACCTTTAAACCTTGAGCAAACGGGTGTGATTTCTTTCAGAAATGGGGAAAGGCAATGAGCAACTTAGGGAAAAACTACATTTAAAGTTTATATTTTTGTTTTAAAATTATGTTACAGAATTATTATAATTTTTAGGCACTCTTTCCGGGTTATTTCCATGTTTGTTTGTTTTTAACTGTCCTCCTTTCTTTTCTTAAATATATTTTTTTTAATTTTCTCTTTTTACGATTTTTTTGGTTCATTTCTTCTTTCGTTGCTCCTTTTCCCCATGTTTTTAAAAGATATCAAACCAGTTTGCTCAGGTTTCAAAAGGTTAAAATGAAAAACATTTTAGGGCAACTGGGTGCCCTTATTTTCGGTTTAAGTCAACAGTCTTATGTATGGTGAACTGCAGGTTTTTTTGGGGGGACAGGGACTTTTAGGGGGTCTAACCAGTAGATCAGAAGATTTATGTAAAATCTTTTTATCGCTAATTATACCCTAATTTCCCATGTAAGTAACTCAGCCTTCGCATGTGAATAAATATTAGGTGTGTTAAGTCCATCGGACCCCAGATTGGACCCTTTGGTGGGCCGGTTCTGGCCCGTGGACCATATGTTTGACACCCGTTTTAACCAGTAGGAGACGGACAATAGTAAGCCCCTGAGACTGAGGCTGAAATTCAGCCATCAGAAATTTATTTTCTCACTTATACCTGAGTTTTTCCCACAGTGGCGGTTCAAAATGTCCTCTGTGAAAAAACGTCTATTCCACTGTGTATAAACCATACCAAAAAAATTAAATATACTGGGAAAAAAAGTGTCCTTCAGACTTTTATTCATATTACCTTTAACTGTACACTCACATTTTTCAAACACATGCATATTCTACACAGAGCAAGGAGTCAGAGGACAAAACTGTCACTTGTAACAATAGATATCTGTTTATTGGTTCCCAGGATTCTTGCAGGAGGTTGAGCATATAACGCTCAAAAGAAGAAGAAGAAAAAAAAAAAGCATGACAGTCCGTATTTTAGACATCATAGCCAACGATGCCTCCTTTGCCGATGCACTCTCCAATGTAGAACCACATTAACACTTCAGTGGCCACCAGTCCGTTCCTCGCAGCATCCTGTGAGGAAACAAAACATTTAGTTAGATTTGTTTCTGGAACAATCAAGTATATTGTGATGTTGGACACAGATGACAATCTTCAGGGTTTCTACAGCTTGAGGCAAGTTAGATTTAAGACTTCTAAATACTTTTGTTGCCCAAATATTTACTGTAACATAAAACACCTGCTTCCACAGTCCCGTCAGAACCTTAAGACATGTTCTATGACTTACTTTTGACAACAGCATTATTTAAAATATCCTGTTTCACTGACACTGATCAATAATGATGAGACTCCATTATTCTGATTACACAATACCTCCTCAAGTACTACTCTACAAAACACATAATACATCATGACACATTTTGTTTTGTGTTTTATATTTTGCTTAAATATAATTATTCAAAGCAAAAAAAATGTCAGAAACTTTAAGTGAACTCATTTTATAGTTAAGTATAAGCCAGCTCCCTATGTAGATAATTGTAGTTGATTTGCCCGGATTTTTCTGAGCTGTATCGCTGAGATTTTGGCCTCCACTCCAATTCATAAACCTCACTGTAAACGAATTACACTAGAAAGAGAGGTCTATGGGTGACTAAGACATTAATGCTGGGAGAAAAAAAAAAAATACAATTATATGTTATTTTTTAGTGCTTGGTTGTATCAAAGTGGCAGCACTAGAATTTTACAACTTAGGCAAAAAAATTAACAATGTGCATAGCTAGATCCTGCGAGGAATAAGTGGGCATCTATCACAATTTTTGGAGACTTATGCCGGCCTTACACCAAACAACTTTTCAAGCAATTTCACTGTTGCAGACAAATTTCTAATTTTGAGATAAAATCATAGGAAGCTCATGGTAACCACTGTCAACAACCAGTAGCTGCACTCTCTCCAGCACCAAACAGAGCAGCAAACTGGAAAGAAAATAAAAACAGAGGGGACTCCAGGGAGGCGCAAGAACATGAGCAAGTCTTGTCATGAACAAGTGGCGTTGTGGAGTGAAGATTGTCTCTTTAATGTGTCCTCCCATTTGTATCATCACAGGTTAATCTAGCACAAGGTGACGCTTAGACTGCATTACTCAAAATCAAAATTAATCCTTCAGTGTCTCCCAAAGTGCCGCCCTGCTGTAGGCTCACTCGCACATCTTTTCTGGTTTTGTCTGACATTATACAACATTTGGACTGCAATTTTTAAGTGGCTCTCAAAAGCCTATAGACACATTCAGCCCGACCACAACGTGGCCATCTTTGGTCGCTCTGCAGAGACTTTTGAGCTGCCATACAACATGCAGGTTACTGTGCATGAAACACTGGTGGTTGCTAGGAAAATTATTCTCCTCACCCGAAAGTCTACCATTCCCCCTGTTTTGCACATTGGCTCAGGAAAATGTTGTCTATAACACAAACTGAAAGACTGCGCCTGTACAAATCCAATACACAGAATAGATCTGAGAAAATTTGGGGATCCTTCTTGGCACAGTGTCGCATTATCCTGCAACCATAGAGACTCTGATCTGCCTGGCTACATGAGTGTGACTGGTGTTTACCTCAATCGCTCATTTATGTTGCTTTGCCTTTCACTCAAGACATTACTATTGTCAAAGTGTATTTGCATACATTTTTAAACACTGCATTGTTTAGTGTGTCCTTTCTTTCATTGAAAAATTTAAAGTATTAAAAAAAAAGTTTGACAAATCATCTTCAGACATGAGAGTGTCAGACTTCAGTCTTTTCTGAGTGTTCTCGTGTGTGGTGGGTATTTGTATTCAAGGCGTTTCCTACTCTACCAGGATATTAGAAAGTGTCCACATCTTGTTATTTTGAACGTTCACTTAGTTACAACAACCTGTCAATGAATCGAGGAGACAAGTCCTGAGAAGCAGGTCTAAAAGTAGCATGGCACATACTGTATAAAGTGGTGATTTAACTTTACACATTTGTATTGGGCTGATGATATAGCATGTCATGTATTTTAATGACAAATACCTGATATATTTTGAACCAATCTTTGGGGACCAACAGAAAGTCTCTCTATCCTCACACACAAACACAACAGGGCCTGTCTGTCAATAACACTCACCCTCACTGTGAGTTGACCGAGACGTCCTGACTGGACAGCCTTGAGGACGTTAGCGGCCCCTTGGATGGCCTTGGGGATGTCAGCAGGGGAAGGGGGGACAAGCTCCACACGGGCATAGTACCAGAAGGTCTGTAGCCGAGGTTTTGATGCGGTGACAGCGGCTACGAGAGAAGAAATAATGCAATTAGGAGTCTGGTGTCCTATGCTGCGGCAAAAGTTAGCTTTCAGTTGCACAGCTCCTCGCATGCCGGTTGGTAGCTTTAGCCACTTAGCTACATGACTTGTGCTAATAAAGTGTGAACATGCAAGCTAGCAAGCTAAATAATATTTGGGAAGACAAAAAAATAGCAACATGAAATCTCAACATAGTATGTTCTGCACCGTGTAGCATTAGCTAGCTAGCATTACACTCACTTCATTCATCGATTGAATGAACAGAATGTACTGTTAGCTAGCTTTGTTAGCTAGCTAGGTCTCGGTGCAGTTGACAGCAACGACCTAGCAGCGTCTTGTCAATAAAGATTATACAGCATACAATTTAATCCCACATTGTAAATAAATATTATGTTTGCTAAAACATTAAATTAACTTACCGCCGACTAGCGAAGGTACTTTAGCGACCAGTTTTTGCACTGCCTGTGCCATGTTGAAGCGTTTGTCGATGCTAACTGCCCCCCGCTAGCCGACTGAATGTCACCTCCAGGTGAAGGACCCCTAGCTGCAGCTGACCACAGAACTGCCTGAACAGAAACAGCTGCGGTTTCTATTTATATCGTTTATGGGTTTGCCTCATAAATGTCAAGTTGAAAAGTCACTAAGTACAAGTACTGTAGTGTAATTTTGAGATACTTATACTTTACTTGAGTACTTCAATTTTATGCAAATGTATACTTCTACTCCACTACATTTGTGTGATAGTAGTTAGTTGCTTATCAGATCGAGATTTTAATACAAAATGAACTCAACACAGAAAGTAAGGAAATTTGTGTTTGGTGGATTAAAAGCCTGTTCATTTCTCTTTTAAATGGTGCCACATTTGTACGGAACATCCATTTGTGGGATGAGCAGCAGAGCTGAGTATGTGGGTTGCACCCATGAAAAAGTTGCCAAATCTCCTCTGCCAATACCAAACAGCTTTTTCATGGCTTTAATATACGGTAAGATCAGTTACATAAAAATCTTGGGTTATAGTTACATACATTCTGTTAAAATACTTATGGCACATCATCATTCTTACATTAGTCTGGAAACTTGTATTTTAGGAGCCATTTTACCTGTGTGTTCATATTTTGCATGTAGCTGTGTGTGTATTGTGTTTACAGACTACACCATTTTTGACCACTAGGTGGAAGTGTGTGCATGGAATATAAGGTAATACTGGTAACAGGTGACATTATTCAGGTATTTTATGGTCACGGTGGAGGGGGAAGTCATTTTGAGCATTTTAATTTCCGGAGACATAGATAAAGTACAGCACAGAATAAACAGCCAAATTAATCTGGATAAATTCACATGCACATCAAGTCACCAAGGTAATCTATTTGTCTGTATCACCATTTAAAATTAATGGGAACATCTGCCAAAGATACTTAATGGTTTAAGACATTAGCTTAACACTTTTCACCAATGCAAGTGACTGTATTGGGACATTTGAATGTGATGGACAGTCAACATGTATCTTGTCATGCTGTCATTAATTTTCAAGTGGCCCTTTTATGTGTTTGTTATGCATTAGTTGATGTAATCTTTTGGAGATCAACATGGCAGATGGTTGGTGAATGTCTAGAAACACAAGTGAGATTACACATTAAGATTTTTTTCATCACTACTATATTTGCTCTCAATTACATTCTCAAAAAAAGGGGGGCACATGGATCAATACTTTAAAACACCGTACACCAACATACAGTCATTTACAGCATAACCCTCTGAATTATAGCAACCCATATTCAAACAGAATGTTAAATGGAGTCGTACTACAAACTGCATCATACATAATAAGTGGTCCCATGTCGTTACTCATATCCATGGACTGCTCAACATTCAGCTCTCACTCTAATTGTTATGATCAAAAACAACAAGAAAGAAGAAGGGAAAAAGGGATTGCTTCCTGACCTTCTATTACTTTTTGGTTTCTTCCTTTCTTCTTTTTTTTTAATTTTAAATAGCTTGCTTCATGTTTTTTTCACTTTCTTTCATCGTTTTTGTTATGTCCCCCCACGCCTCCCCCACCCTCTATGTTATTAATATTTACCTATGTACTCTGCTATGTGCTGTTACATAAGAAAATTAATAAAAAATCATTTACAAAAAAAATCAAAAATAAAACCCAGCATCATACTATATAGCTGTCCCACATCCAGCAAAATCAGATGGGGACTGTGATAAATAAATATGAGTAAACTATGAATGTTTTACGTCATCTCAGCTGGCTTTTATTTTAAATTTCTCAAAAACTGCACAGTAAAATCACATTAAATTTGATTTGAACAAAACAATGCAATCCTGTCTAAATTTCATTTTACATATCACACACATACATTATATGTCATAATATGTAGAGCAAATTTAGCATCTGTACTTTATCTGTGTGATTATAATGTGGAGTGGACAATAGTTATTACTGTTCTTTTATTCCTTTTTTATATATATTTTTTCTCTATATACACATTGGAGTGGATGTCTTTGTTGTTTTCTTCTTATGTTTATGTAATTCTGGACTATAATGTGTACAAATGTTATATACAGTTGGTGAAAAAGGAAATCATACACTGTATTGTTGATGAAAACTAAAAAAAATAAAAACTATAAAAAAATTCACTTAACTTTTTTAATTTCTCAAAAACTGTACAGTGAAAGCAGTCACGACCACAATTTAACTTATGTCACATTACTAATGCATGATTTGAATGTCACGTTGTGTAACTCTGATACTATAAAGATCCGAGTAATCAGTCACACAACTGATAATCACCATCGAAACTCTGCTGCTCAGCCTGCCAATCTGCACATGCCTGCGTAAACCACATGTACGTGAACTTTGACCTCCACCTTAAACAATTTAATTAACATTTTTAAATAACATAGGGCCATTTCTTTTCATTATCCCCAGTACTTTACATCACTGCTGATAATCAACACCACAGGTTTCTTTTCATATCAGTACAATGTGAAATTATGGTTCTTTCAGACGCTGACAATTTTATTGATTCTGTATTTAATCTGATAGAGATCATATTGTCGTTGGCTAAATGTTCGACATCATGACATGTATAACACGATACCAAAATACGTTTTTATATCATACACAAACACATATTACAACATTTCTTTGTCATTTATACAGCTGACACTGTTCCAGTTTCATTATTAGCTTATGTTATCTGATGTTTTGGATCCTTTGTGAAACCCCAGGACTAGATTAAGGCAATACTGTCCCATAAGATAATACGAACAGGCAAGTTTGTCTTGTTCAGCTCAGTTTGAAGTCTCTTCAGTAGTTAGGACGGGGGAGGAATGTTTTCAGTATTGTTTGAGTGTCTTTGCCGCTCACAAAGACGATATCTCATAACCATCTTCCTCCTGCTGAGACACAAACAAGAATATATTGTGGTCACTGATTAACTGATAATTGTGTTGACAGATTATGTAATGGATATAATCTTTTAAAGGATTTTTTTTTACCTCACTGTCAGAGATATCTCTAGTAGGTGTGTCATGCTGCTTCAGCTTGTTGTAGCCAGTCTTATCCATGACTAGTAAGGAAAGATAATGTCCTCCTTCCTTCACAAGCAAAATCACATCCTCCAGGTACTTCTCCTCCACATTTTGTCCATTGACTTCCATCACCACATCACCCACACGTAGCCCTGCACTCTGCCCAGGGCCTCCAAAAGCCACCTACAAGGGGGGAAAAGCAAAATCTAACACCACATTTGTCAAAATAATAATAATCCTTTTGTTCTTCTTGCCTCAGTAATCTCAGCTCCCAATGTGTCTTAGCGAGTTCTCAGCTGACGACCACTAAATAACTTATTGTGTTTAACATTAGCGATTCAGGTAAATGTAAATGGTCCCATTTGTTTCCTTGGCTTGGAAAATATGCAAGTACTAATCTTCGAACCAATTTGATTTATCATTAGGGATCCAGCTAAAAACAGGTTATGGGTGGTAGCCATTTTGAAAGTCCAAGATGGCCGCCACAGAAACTTTGAAAAGCTTTCCAAAAATGTGCAGTTTATAAACTCCCCAGAGATTTTGAACAAAGGTTGAAATCAGGACATTGTGAACCTGTTTATCACTGCTATGCCATATTTCATCCCCACCTGGCTGATGAAGGTCCCAGAACACTGTGGGATGCAGCCCAGGTTAAAGCCAAATCCCAAAGGGCCTTTTTGGAGAGAGCAGCGTCTGGGCTTGCAGGAGCCATCCATTTCCTTTTGTGGTGACTGCTCTGTTGCAGAGGCTGATATGCTGCTCTCCTTTTCTCTCTCAACAGAACCATCCTCACAGAATAGAAGAGGGGATAGACCCAACTACAGATACAAGAATAAGAAAAGAAACTGTAAGAACTATCTGAATTATTTTTAGATATTGCTTCCATATAGATTTATGATGCATATTTTTATTTCTTAATTTTTGCTTTTAAAGATAAAACAAGGCTTGGACCAAGTTACAGAGAGCACCACTGGAAATATAAAAAAACATTTGCATTTTGGAAAAGACATGTATCTGGTAAGTGATGCCCACCCGGGTGTAAAACTCCAGCCCCTGCTGAGTGATGGTGGTGAAGGAGATCTGTCGTCCACTCAGTCTCACTCTGTCCACAATCTCCTCATGCTTCAGTGACTCCACAGACTCCCCGTTGACCTCCAGCAGCAGCTCTCCGTCCTTCATACCTGCCCTCTCTGCTGGACTGCCTCTGTCCATCTCACGCAGAACATGAACTATTAATTGGAAATAAAATGCACAGATATTTAAGTGAAGGACTAAAGTCTAGAATGCTTGTGGTTATTTAACACTCATTTTGTCCTCTCACATGTGCGTCCTGATGGCGCCTTCTCCAGTCGAAGGAGGAAGCCGTAGCCCTCAGGCCCAGACACCAGGTGCAGTTTTTTGGCTCTGTAAGGCAGGTTATGTGGAACAGCCATGGCGGGCAGGATGGGCATCCTTTGTTGCATGTAGTTCTTCTCACTTTCACTGTCAATCACCAGGATGGTGATGTGATCGCCACATTTTTTCATCTGCAGCAAAACATTATTTATTACTGCTACAAAAAGGCTGTACATGATGACTTCAATTTCACCAGACACCAGAAGAAAATGCTGGCATTGTACATTACTGAAAACCACAGATACATTATATTTGCATGGCATTATGTAGCAAATACATTGAATGCTGTGATTAATGTTAGGGTTAGGATTAGGCACAAAACCACTTGGTTATGGTAAGAAACAGTTCATGTTGGGGAGCACAAACCCAGCAGAAAAAAAAACAATGTTACTACCGCCGCTGACAATTTGCTGGAAAAAACTGATGGATCATTACAAAACACCCATGTTTACAGTCTCAAAAGCCGCTGGGGAAAAAATGACAGGTTGTGACAAAGCACCCATATTTAGAGCCAAAAAACACGCTGGAAAAACACTGAGGGATTGCTACAAAACACCAACATCTGGAGCCTAAACAGCTGCTGGGGAAACAGATGCATGGCTACTGTACAAAACACCCACATTTAGAACCTAAGATCCGGTGGAAAAACACTGACAGGTCACTACAGAACACCCACATTTAGAACCTAAAAGTCAGCTAGAAAAACAGTGACAGGTTGATACAAAATATCCACATTTAGAGCCTAAAAAATCAGTGGAGAGGAGACGACAGGTTGCTACAAAACACCCACATTTGGAGCCTAGAAAGACGTTGGAAATACAGATGAGTCGCTACAAAACACGTATGTTTAGAGCCACTGGGAAAGAAAAATCAACGGGTCACTACAAAACACCCATATCTGACGCCTAAAAAGCTGTTGGAAAAACACAGATGGGTCGCTACAAAACACCTAGGCCTCTTACCTAGTGACACTCCCTCCATCTTCTGATGACAGATCAGCTCATATACCATGTCACCTTTGAAACTTTGATATGATGCGTATGAAACGTGCAAATGTAATGTATTCATGGCTTGCAGAATGTATAATGCCAACATTTTCTACTTGCGACTGGGCTGTCAATATTGTAATTGAAAACCTCTTTTGTAGGCCATAAAAGTTTCAAAAGGTTTGAAACAAACAACAGCACGATAAAATGTGGCCAAATTGTCGTGACTTAACTTTTAAAAAAAATGCTGATAATAAAACAGGCAAACTTTGTACCATTCTGCTGAGTGCAGAGTGTGTGAGATTGGACACTGCTGCACCATTCATCCACACCAGGTGATCTCCCTTACACACCCCGGCCTTTTCAGCCGCACCTCCTTTAACCAGGTTCACAGAGAAGCGACCTTTCCCTCCTGCAAAGCAGAAACAGGAGGAGCAACTGAATACCACTACAAAGAATTCAGCTCAACACCCCTCCATTAGATATCTAATCTTGAACCTTGGACTTGTTGTGATTACCAGGAGTAGTGTTACCTTCTATGGGTGTGAAGTTGATGCCCAGACCTGAGACAGGATCCCTGGTAATGTGGCAGAGTCTGGGTGGTTTGCAGCCCTTCCCTCTGGCCAGACCTCGGAGGTCTTGACCTCGGGACATGGCCTGCTCATACTCCTCACCATCCAACACTAATAAACATAACTGGTGTCCACTTTGCTTTATCATCTTAGCCACCTGATTCATAAAAAGGAAATGGTTCAAGTTAAAATCCTCTCAGTCCTTTGGAGAGGCGTCTGTGAGTTGAATAATGTATGAAGCTCCTCTTACCTCAGGGTGAGGGACATCATCAACATAGCAGTTGTTGACTCCCAGAAGCCTGTCTCCATCTTTAAGGCCACTGCACGCCGCTATGCCTCCTGACACTACATTTCTGATTACATGACCCTGGCACCCCCTCTCCACCCGCAGATGGAAGGCATAGGACTCCCCTTCCTCCCGTTTAAGGACACACAAACGAGGGCTGGGCGTCGACACAAAGTCTGAGCCAGGAAGAGACAGAAAAGCGCTGTCGTACCTTCTCAGAGCACAGAAAACAATTATAAATGTGTATGCAAGATACCTTCTGTGATCACCATCACTGGGTTGTCTATTCCCTCTTTCGGATTAAATGTAAATTTTCTGCAAAGGGTGAAAGGAAAAACATTTGACTCAAGGTTTAATTACAAACTGTTGAATATTAAATCTCATAAACTGGTAGGTGTACTGAACAACAAAACAAAGCAAAGTAAAGAACACAATTTCCCTTTTGTTTATGACCCTCTAAATCTGTTCTTGCTCAAGCAGATGAAGGAACAAGAAACGTATATGTTTTTCGAAATTTTAATGAAAGCACTCAATTAATTGCATCAATTACAATTTCAAGATCAGTTGCACAACCTCATCTGTGATGACGACACCATCAACATTTGTCTGTGAAAAGTGGGCCTTATCTGGGGCCCAAAGTCTTAGCAAAATACGTGACCTGCAAAATGACAATTTGTTTACCAGTAGCTCACCATGTGTTATGCTGAATTCGTAAAGGAATATTATTGTTTTAACAGGATAAAGTGGTGTTGTGTCAGTATGCCCTTTCCTAACCCTTTCTCTGTGATGCTTGGTCTGTCGGAGCTAAATCGAATGATTGATAACTGATATATTGTCTAAAGCGTCATTTTTATTCAAGCAATATTCATAATGGTTTAAATAGACTTTTTTTTATTTAGATATTTTTTGGCCATTTTGCCTTTAATGGACAGGACAGGTAAGCGTGAAGGGGGGAGAGAGAGAGAGAGAGGGGGGATGACATGCAGCAAAGGGCCACAGGCTGGATTAGAACCCGGGCCGCTGCGGCAACAGCCTTGTACATGGGGCGCCTGCTCTACCACTAAGCCACCGATGCTCCTTAAATAGACATTTTGATATTATCTCCTGATCTTTGCTGAGCAACAGTTATGTGTAAAAGGAATTAAAGGCCTGTCCCATATAGAGGTCTGTCCCAAATATACGCATGTTGATTTCAGTGATTTCAGCAAATAATAGCCTGGGCTTTTAATTGAAATAAGGTAATTGGGAACCACGATTAATAAGAGCAAACCTATGTCAAAATATCTGTTTAAAAGCTCTCACACAACTCGTGTAGTAACATCCATGTCTCATTTATCCAGTCATAGGCTCTGTATATTTTTCCAAACACATGCATTTTCACAAAAAATTGCAATATGAAATACTTCCAACTTACAGTAGCATACCCTGAGTGTACTTGAACATACTTTGCCGTGCATGAGACTGTGCTGAAAATTGTGACATCTTAATGAAAATGCATGTGTTTGGGAAGTACTGTGTGTACTGTGCGTGAGTTGTGTGAGAGTTTGTTAAAGTCTCCTCACAAATTCAAGATAACACGCTGTGAGTAACTGATATAAAAAAGGTCCTTTTGTGGATGAGATTACTATGTTTCAAAAGTCAACATGCCAATTACATCTATATAATTCCTGCTAGGCTGTATAAACTGTAGTGTGGTCAGGTCCAACTCAGTTCTATGCTGTGCCTGATCATCTTATTATTTCAGTGTAGCAATGCAGTGTCAATGTTTAAGTTTGAACTGATACTGACATAATGAGGGTATTTAAGAATGTATGAACACTGGTGCAAACATTTAGATAAAAAGCAAACTTACTCTGTCAACCCTATGATTTCCACCAAACCTTGAAAAACAGATATCAAATGAATTTAACATCTTTAGCAGCACAACATTCACATAGTGAAATTCGATATTCACACATTTCTGCATTTATTTACCAAAATACATGACATAGAATTCATTTTCAATCACCACTGATACCACACATCCGTTGCATTAAATTTTGCAGCATACCAGCACAAATCAGACATTATCATAAACTGTTAATCCCTTGATGTAATATTAGTTTGAACTTACAGCTCTGTGAACGTCTGCGTGGTTCTGTCTAAACTGTGAGGCATCAGCTTAACAGTAAGACTTGCTTTTGTGTCTTGGATCACCAATGTGTTGACTTTAACCTCTCAGCTGAGGGATCATAAAACAGGGTTTGACTTTATGTAATTATCTTTAGTCTTTGCCCCCTCTTAAAGGGAGAGGTTATCAAACGACATTAAACACCTTTAAAGGTGCAAATGTCCAACTAATGACTGATATAGAATGGAAACTTGGCAGCACCTGGCACATAAACTATCAGTCAGTCAATTGGCAATTTCAAATAAATCATTTGTTTTTAAGTGGATTATTGCATCAGGACAACTGAGACTGTAATATTTTCGGGAAAATATAATTAGGTCCAGTGTGTAAGATATAGGGAGATATACTGTCAGAAATGGACTAAAATATAATTAGTATATTTTTTTGTGTACATCACCTGAAAATAAGAACTGTTGTGTTTTAGTTACCCTAGCATGAGCTTTTTATATCTAGATAAGGAGCGGGTCCTCGTCCACGGAGATCACCACGTTGCACTGCCATGTTTCTACAGTAGCCCAGAATGGACAAACCCAACAACTGATAGATAGAGCAATTCACGTTTTCATGTTGGCCACTGTAGTTAGCAGCCCCTCCACGATGAGCAGCATCAGAAAACAGTGGGTTTTAAATGTGAATTGCCTTATTCAGTGTTTTTAACTGTTCAAATCAACTGGTCCGTTTGTTTTGGAAAGGAAGTGACCTCTGCAGATAATTCAGCTCCCGCTAAAAACCTCCTGAACATCTGGATCAGAAAATAAGGTGAGCACAAATTACGTTATCAGAGAAAAAAGGTGAGCATGCACGCTCTTTGGAGACAGGCAAAACCATGTCTGAAAAACACTGATTTTTCATGTTTAACTGTTTTATTCAGTGTTTATACTGGCTTTAATCATCTGGTCCATTTGTTTTGGAGAGGATGAGACCTCTGTGGATAATTTGGTTCCCAGTAAAAATCACTTGAACAATGAAGGATTTCCAACCAGTTTTGGCAGTTTGCATTCTGCATTCCTTACTGCGAGATGCCACAAAATCCTCCCAAATCTTAAACTGCTCCTTTAAATCTTCACGAACAGTGTAATTGTTAGTCCATGATACCTCATGGGTTGAAAAAAAAACATCCCTCTTACATGAAATGTTATGATTGTCTCAATAATTGAACCATTTATTCATTATTTTTTATTCCTTCTTAAGTGTTGTTCCACAGGGATTCGTTTTGGGCCCTGTCCTGTTTACATATATGTAGATGAGATTGTCTCTTGTGTGTCTATCGTGTTAGAAATTACAGCTCTCTGTTAATGTATTGCAAGTTGCGTGTACCGATATTGAATTTCGACTAAATGAAAAGAATACAACATTACAGTAATATAGATATATTTCTGCTCTGATCATTTAATTTTGAGAGTGTCACAGGCTTGGCTTGTTGTACAGACACAGAAGCAGCTTTTCTCTGAGCTGCAGAAAGAGGACTGTTGAAGCAACTTTGCTCTCAGATCTGGATACACTCCCTTTCTGCTCTCAGGCTCATTACTGGTGATAATTATAACACTTGCTGCAATCTATATGATAATGTTGGTCGGCCTTGCCTGTCTGAGTGAAGTAATAACTAGTGGCACTTATTTATCTCATCCTTGCTGCTCTGGTACTCTGACCTGTGCTTAGCTTGCAGCAGCCTTGAACGAGAGCTGATCTAGGAAAATCTGTCTTTTCTATCAGGGCAACGGTCTCATAGAATAATCGGTGATGTCTCCAGATAATCAGAACACTCCTACCTCCCTGCACCTTATAATATTTATTGATTGATATCATTCTATAAAAAAACTGTTAACAGGGCTTGTGTATGCTCAGCCAGCTTGTCCAGGATAAATCAGGGTTCAATAGAAATAAAATAATGGCCCTTTATGGCCATTAGGAGGAATAAAACATTTCTACCTTCCTGAGACCCAGTAATTCATATTTGTCCTCTGTGAGGGACATGACAGTGAGGCCTTTATTTAAACGCCATGCATGCAGTCTACTTGAGTACTGATGTACTGTACAAAGGACATCCTGGGCTTTAATGGAAGCAAGGGAGACAGGTGAAGGAATCTGTTATAAAAACATTAATAAATACATTTTTTGAGAAAAATAAATCTTTGTCATAGGTTTCTTACATCCTAATTACATAAAGGAACAGCGTGAAAGGTTTGGGGGATTTAGGGGCATCTAGTGGTGAGGATTGCAGATTGCAACCAGCTGAAACATCTGCTGGTTAGAATTCCTTCAATGTCCATTGTTCAGAAAGTTTTTAAGGGGAGCCGTATCATCCTCATCCGTTTCTCTCTTGTAGATAGGTCACTAGCCCAGCACCTGCTAACGTGTGCTCACCTTTTTTCTCTTTAACTTAAGATCCAGACATGAAATAAGGTTTTGCCTGGAAGCCAAATTATCCACATCGTGGAGGGGCTGCTAACTAACACAAATGACCCTGATCTAGAGCCAGTCAGTACGTTTACATGCACAGTTTAGTCTAGCTAGGGTTATAGCTCAACTAGGCCATTTAATTGGATCACTGTCCTTGTCCCAGTATACAAACATGGGAGGGGACCTAATTTATTGACCAAAGTATGTATGACTCCACTATGATGGGTGGCGATATGCCCCCTTACAGCTAGTTAGTACTGGACCTTTTTCCAGTTTCCCTATTACATCACAGACCAAACAATCAACAAACTAGTTAACTACAGTTAGCTAGCAGCAAACTGGTACCATGGTGGACAACTTTATGGCTCTGTACATTTCGTACGTGCTGTACGCTTTACTTTTTCTCTTTCTTCTCTTCCTCTGTTATGCATTTAATGATATTCGACTTCCGGGTCAAAGCCTGGGGCAAAAACTGTAGAGCATGCGTAGAGCGCCTAGACCAGTTCGGGTCCGTTTGACTGTATACATGCAGGAGGAATTCGACTCCCGATTGCTTTATCTGGGTGTATTAGTCCAACTTTGAAATTAGTTTTCCTCTGGGCTACTGTAGAAACATTGTGGTGCAACATGGTGATCTCAGTAGATGAGAACCGGCTCCCTATGTAAATATAAACGGCTCATTCTAAGGTAACAAAAACACAGTGATTGTTCTTGTCAGGTGATTGTACACTAAAGAAAACATACTTGTTATATTTTATTAAATCCTACACACTGGACCTTTAAATTAAATCAATTTTCTTGCAGGTCTCAGGAGACTGTAGCTGACACACTTAACTGTCACTGCTTATCTGTTTGGTTCATCATGTCAGCGACACTGAGCCCTTGTCTCTCTGACACAGTGTCAAATAAAAACAAACTGTTACAATAACATAAGGCACTTAGTAACTCTCTGCTCCCAGATGAAATGCATCTCTCACATCTACATGGCTAAGCAGCTCCTCTCCTGAATAGCTCATACCAGAGGCACTTCAGTGCCGCTAATGGGTCACTGTTTGCTTTTTACCCACCATAAAGCTTTTATTTAATGTCCTACAGCATAGCGGCCCTCTATAGACACACTAAGACAAGCTGCTGAAGCTTGATGGTTGAGAATTTTGAATGATCACAGTTCAAATATATCATTTTCTTTTCAATCTTGGAAGCACTACCCAAACACATAGATTGAATTTGTTCCACAGGGCAAGGTACAGTAATCAAGTCTATCTCTCATTAGACAAATGGTTAACACTGATCTAGGTTTGAGCCTACATGCAGCACAGTACAAAGATAATATATACAGACAACCTAGACAAGATAGCTGACTAACAAAGATGAGGAAACGTTTAAAGGTTTGAATTCATTACCTGTGCTTGCTTTCATGTTGTGTCTCTTTCCCATCTGGGCAGCAGTCACTGACACAGAGAGATGAAACAGTGGGAGTACTGTACGCACAAACATTTATTCTGACCACAGAGAGACTCCTCCCTTACAGGGACACCGGGCTTAATGTTTAAACTGTGAGTGAAATTTTGAGCACACATGATTATGTGTAACGACCGCTTCGCATTGTACCATGGACTGATAGTACAAAAGCCATAACGAGATCACTCCCTAACTGTCTGTCTGACTTTTATCTTGTTATTCTGTTAAAGTGAGAACTATCTATGCATGTGTGCGTTCTATATCTGTGCCCTGTTCCCATCAGGATTACAGCCAAGACTGACTGTCAATGTCAAGGCCAAAGCCTGGTGACAAGTTGCACAAACACACCAACATTCCAATAAAAATAACAGTGATATGTGGTTTGGCGGCAGAGGGAATAATGCTGATGGTGAGCAATGACTAAGAACTGATTGACTGGAAATACAGAGAGAAGGAGGGAGATGAGAAAGCAAAGCATTATTCATGGCCATATCTATTTCCCTTGAAGGGTTCCAGGAAGCCAGACAACACTTAGAGACACAGTAATGGAGATGGGAGGTTTATAACTGGGTTCAAATTTTTATGATGTCACTGTATTTTTCCAGCATTTTCTAAGATGATTGGATTTCTCTGGATAAAATATTCTGAGGTTAAAGTGATGACATCCAGCATTTTTAAAGGGATAGTTCGGATCTTTTGAAGTGGGGTCATATGAGGTACTTATCCATAGACAGTGTATTACCTACAGTAGATGTCAGTCGGCACGCCCACAGTTTGGAGAAGCAGGCTTGAGCCTGACACGGGGGCTAAGCAATGTACTGCTGTGGATGGGGTCAGCAACAAAATGTATTTTAGCTACCTAAAAAAATCGGAATCAATTCAAGTGTACACTCTATTTAGATTGTTTTCACTGCTTTACTTTAACGTCAGACAGCACTTTTTGATGGGGAATTGAAACCGATAAATCACTCTCTTCAAAGCCAGACTCCAGTGAGAAAAACAGTAATTTAACATCATTGAACACAGAAGCTGCTGCTCTAGCCCTGCCTCGATCAGTTATTTTAATTTTGTTTTTTATGTCTTTGGTGTTCAGAAGGGTTAGTTCGGAGTCACCAAAGTCACATAATAACACACACTAACAAACGGTAGATAGAGTCCACGGTAGACCAGCAGCTCCCATGTTCAGCAAGCCAAAAAATTTTGTGAATGGAGTCTGGTGGCTTTGACAAAATCATAGATAGGGAAATGAAGCTGCTAACGGCTTCCACGTCTGAACAGGCTTTCTCATGGAAAGGTAAGGTGGTGAAAATACTCTCAATATAGCATACACTTAAAGTGATATAGTGTCATGATCTACCCTGCCTGTTACCTGCTGCTCTAGGAAACTTCCACTCACCCTGACTCCTCCTCACTCACCTACCAGCCACACCTCCTAATCAATCTCATCACTCCCACCTGGTCTTCCCAGCTGCTCCACATCACCAAGCAC